TCGTAATTGTAACTTTAATGACACTTACTTATTGTAATAGAATTTATTATTATTTTTTCTTCATTTTTAACCATTTAAAGCATTCTCTCATGGTTGGCCATTGAGAGCTTTTCCAGTTTGGGGCCTACAAACTTTTAGGATGCCACTGAAATATTTTCTAAGAATAAAGTTTTGTAGTGCAGTAACTAGGTCAAAGAATATGAATCTCTTTACGGTTCTTTCAATACATTATCATATCGCTTTCTAGAGGGGTTTGATATTTACTCAACAAATATTTATTAAGCGTCTTTTATATATTAGGCCTTACACTGAGCAGTAGGGATACACTGTGAATGGGTGTGGTCCTTGCCCTCAAGAAGCTTACCAGTTGCTGTCACTAGAAATGTGTACTTTTAATTCTGATGCAAAATCACTTGCACCAAAATTAAAAAACATTTTTTTCGCTTGTACCTCTTTTTTTTTACACTTGCATTTAATGGCTGGGTTTTACATTCTATTTTTATCTGAATTATTTTTGTGTGTATATGAATTTTTTATTGCGTGAAGTCCCTTTGCCCATTTTTACATTTTATTTATTTTCTTATTCTATTTATAAACTTATTTGCCTTATAACATTGAAGGAGATCTTTACATCTTGTCATACTTAATGTATTTTTCTAGTTAATTTACTACATTTTATTTTTGTTATTTTGAACGATACTTAAGTTTAAAATTTTTATGTATTTGTCAGTCTGCCTTTGCCATATCTTCTTTTGCTTCTAGACTTGATCATTTCCCATACATCTGATAAATACAATATTCTTTTTTTCTGATAGTTGCTCTATAACTTAATTTTAATAAATTTTAGCATGTTTTTTTTAGCATGATTTTTAAAGTGAACTTTAGAATGAGTACTTTATCATCCACTCAATTTTTCTTTATAGTCTGTTTCTCTATCCTACTGAATACATTTCCCTTATCTGTACTTTTTGCTGTTTAAAAAATATAGTTGCTTTATAATATTTGCTGGACTAGAGTCCCTCTCACAGATCTGGTTATTTTTCAGCATGTATTTTTACTGTTTTTTCATGCTTCAAAATCTTATTGTAATATTTATAGAAAGTAAGTTATATCTCACGACGTGGGCTTTGGAATTCTAGTTACACCGCCTGCTACTTGTCTGATTTTTCACAAGTTTAACTCTAAACCTCAGTCCCTCATCTGTAAACTGGGGAATCATATTAATATTTACCTCGTAAGATATACAGGATTAACTGAAAAAATTCCATGTAAGACATGTAGCGCACTTCCCATCACCAGTCTTTGCACAGGAAATCCTAGAAAAGTGTGAATGATTCTGGTTCACTTGGGGGCAAACAGCCATTTCTGCACCGAGAAGTCCTGCTGTGAAGCGGACGGACCGTGCTCACTGTGCACCGAGGCTAGACAAGCGCGCCGCTGCCCGCTTCCTAGTCCAAGCCCACCCGAGGGCGGGGGCCCCGGCAGCACAGAGCTCGCGCCCTCTGCGCGGCTATGGCCGCGCCCAGCTCCGTGAGGGCGGGCCCGTTGCCTAGGAGATGCGAGCTCGGATTCGCGCTATGGGCGCGCGCTTCCGGGAGGACGTGCTTGCGCGGCGCCCGGCAGCCAATCAGAGGGCGGGGCGCGCGTTCAAACCGCTGGCCGGCAGCGGAGGCGTGAGCGGCGCGGGAAGGCCTGGGGCGGGTGAACGAGGTAGGTGTTGCGGCCTCGGGGCGGCGCGTCGGTGCGGGCGGCGGTGGGGGGCGGCCGAGCGGCTCGGGAGTCCGGGCGGGGCGGGG